GTTGTACTTCAAAAGAATGGCTTCATTTTTGGTTTTGAGCTGTTTCATGTATTTAAAAGCTTTTTCTCTTTCCTTTTAAAATTTAGAGCAATTTAAAAATGGACAGATTAAAAGCTTGTTTTGAAAGTTTTTGAAAATGTTTTGGCAGTTCTAAAATGAACCACTCCATTTTGAAAATATTAAAATGAAGTGCTTTGACATTTTAGACTTTTTTCTGCATTGTTTCATCCGGGACTATTTGCTAAATTCCATTCAAATTCATGAAGAGTCTCACTAACCCTGAAATTCATTTGTGTGGTGTATTTATTATTTGTCAGACAGCAGTGGTTCATTAAACTCTGCATCAGTTCAACCTTAAATAATGGGAGAGAATTCTTAATAGGGCCTTGTTCATACACAGCTACCGTTCTCACTCCCCTTATAATTGCTGCCCTAAGGGGCACTCAGCTGTGCAGAGCCACTTCTACCCCTCTGGGAGAAGAGGTGGCAAGACAGACCTCAGGCCTCTGAGCTGGTGCTGCTTCCTCCTCTCCACCCTGGGCAGTTCTCCTCCTGGAGTACCCATATCAGCCTCACAGCTCACATCAGTGTTTCTGTAGCCTCTTGCTAAGCTCTGCCTTCCTCCCATCAAAGGCTGACTCTTTGCTGTTCATGTCACTGTATGTGGTCACTGCACTTCCTATGCTTTATTACCTTCTCTCTCACCTTTCTACCATTAGTGAGGGTTGGCCTGTTTTTACTCCAACTGGTTTAAATGTTTCTAAAAGCCATTCACCTGCAGTAGCAGTCAACAGCTGGCATACCAACATTTTTGTCTTTTCTGGCTGCTCAGCTTCAGCAGGGCTATTCACAGCTTGCACTTTGCTAAGGTCGGTGGTATCACCCTTACACATTTCCTGTATTACATGAGGATCAGGTTCCAGTAGTTAACAAGTCGAAAAATATTCCTGGGGGAGGAGAGGAACTAGGTAGATAAGTGTGTTCCACATGTGCACTTTATTTTGGGAATTGCTGCCTTCATCCAAGTGAGAAATAATTGTGATCAAACATGGGTCTGAAACGTGGTGCTCCAGATCACCCAGAAATGTCTTTGTACTCTGAATGTTCCAGTCCAGCAAGGCCAGAGTGTGATGGGACGTCAACTGCTGGCCGCTGCTCAGTGCCTGGATCTATAAAAATAGTCTCTGGGTCAAACTTTGCACTACTGTAATTGGGAATAGCTCCAGTAAAATCAGTATCTCCACATTTATTCTCTTGAAATTTAAAGCCAGGTTTGGCCCACTATGTGGAGAGAGTCCAACTGGAAACTAGGGCCAGCCCGACTTATGGGAGAGGAGATGAGAACTGACTCTCCTGCAGTTAGTTAGCCTCAATCTTCACGTGTCTCCCAGATATAACTGTTCTGACCTCAGTGGAATTGATCCTAATTTATGCCACTGTAACTGAGATTGCAGTGTGCATTGTTTGAATTCTGTTGGGTGCGCCTTCTTCCAGATGGAAACTATTTGCAAACTATAACAGCCTCTTTCCTAACGTTGAGGCTTGCCATATCTGAAATTTTTGGTGGGGCAGGGGAGTGGAGAAAAGGATATAATGCCAACTTTGTGCTTAGTGCTACCTAGTGACATTAAATTCTGCAGTGTTCTGTTAAATTATCAGTGCCTAATTAGGGGATTAGAACACTCCTATCCTCTCATCCTAATTACAGAATGTGTTCCAAGATCACCCAAAAGAAGGGAGGAGGTAGCTTTAGGAAATTCAGAATGGCAATGTGGTGACTCTGTGCAGGCCTTTTTTCTTACATGGGCGTTCCTGCTAATTGATTTTTCTTGCATCTGCAGCTTCTGTTTTTTTCCAGCTTTACGTATTACATTGCTGAAGCATTTGATGAATGGGATGCTGTGCAGCTGAAAGATCACACGTCTCAAATGGCTCACTTGGCATTCTCAGACTGAACTGACTGGCAGAGTTGCAGCTCTCTGACAAGGGGAATGGCTGCTTTTCTCTCAGAAGAGCACTGTAACTCTTAAATGCACCATAAAGGCAAGATATTATATACACATATGAGTGTGTCTGTCTATACACATGTATATGTGTGTGGATATATGTGTTTTTGGAGTGAAAAGCCACTCTGTCTTCCTGTAATTGCACTGGAAATGTTCAGTTTGTCAGCATGACTTTTTTCCCTGTTAGCAATGAAATTTGGCCAGGAGTCTTAGCATGCCATGAGAAATCAAGCCGTGACCACATTAAGCATGAATGGCAGGGCAAGGTTAAAGCCTGTAACACTATGCTGGGGTGACCTGTTGCAGAGTTAGAGGCTGAGGTGTGAGGCTGGGTCACATAACTATTTGCAAGTGAAGCACAAAATGTAGCTCAAAGCTGCTTTGACTATTTACTCTTTCAGGAGGCATTTAGTGAGTATTTTCTATTTTGAAAGCATATTTAGAGAATTTCAGCTGTAGGGCTTGTAGCCAATCTTCTGAAATCAGATCAGAATATTTCTTAATTTTACCTACAAGTACACTCATGGCATATTCCTACTTTAATTTTGAATTATTTGAAAAGCTTTTCTATAAACTCATGTACAAAGAGACAGCTGAGAAGCATCTGAGGAAGGTGGAGTTGTTCAGCTGCAGGGAAATAAAGCACAAGATCACCCAACCAGCAACAGGAGTAGGTTGGTGCATCTTACCCCTGATCAACTCTGGAGTTGTTCTACTGCTCAGCAGGAAGTTAGACATTCTCTCAACGAAGAAAAAAGAGAGGTGCCAGGGAATTGTTTGCACTACCTATAAACTTTCTGCCCTAAATCTGTCTCCTGAAATACTAAATTAAATGCAGATGGAAAAAAACAAACTAAACCAAAGATATTTTTTATATTGAAGCCTTCTTATTAATTTGTATTTGCCTTTTTTTAAATATTTTTGATTTATTTTGCTTACTAGACCCTTTAGCCCAAGTGGTACATTTGAATGCAGCTTTGAAGGGAACTTGGCTCAGTGCTGTAAGGCAGGCTAGGGAAGAGCCTGGTCTTAAAATAGACACAAAGCACAGTGCATGAATTGGCTTCCCAGATCCCACTGAAGCACAACCTGAACTTTGCCTTGTGGAGTGGCTAACTTGAAGAGCACAATGAAATCTTTCACCAGAACCAGAGCTGCAAAGGATCTGCTGTGTCCCACCCCTTCACAGCAGCAAACAGGCTCTGATGAAGGTCACCCACCTACACCAGCTTTGCCTCTAAGACTGCATACCTTTGTATGGAGTCACTTGTGAGTTATCTTTCTGTGAGGAGAGGACAATCTGACTTTTTCATGCGTCTGTCAGTTGGAAAACTATTCAAACTTCATTGGATATCTCTAAAGCTGATAGAAAAATAACATTTTGTAAGTTGAGGCTCACACTTCATGGTAAGGTCTAACTAGGACTGAGGTGTTTGAAAGGTTTGTACTACAGCCTTGTTTAATAATATAATCCAGAGCTGGATGCTGGACATAGGTGTGAAACTGATGGCAGCAGCCACTGCCCAGGGAAGCACCACAGTTCAGCAGAATCCTTAAGGAGCTGGGGATTGTCCCAACAGGAAAACCATCTCCTTCTATAGGGCAGAGCATTACAGAATGCCAGTTCGTGCATGAATGTCTGGATGAGCAGCACAGTGAAGCACTTTCTGTGTTCTAGAAAACTTAACATGCTGAGGATGTAAAAGGTCATTTAAGGACTGCCCCAGCATAGGCCCAGCCATATCTGCTTCATTCCAGATTGATGTTAGTCCAGTCTGCTATTAAACTCTGGTGACAGAGCACCTCCATAGCTTCACAAAGGGCAAAGGGCTGGTTTTCAGCATTACAAAGATTTTCCTAATAATGTCCAGTACAATTCTTTCTCGCTGCCAGTTATGATGTTTTCACTTCTTTTCTGCCAAGCTAATGCCTTCATTTTATACCAGCCTTTTCTGTATATGCAGACTGTTATCCCAAGTATCCCTTCTTCACACTAATTATCTCTAATTATTTAATCTTACCTTTTAAGCTGTGTTTTCTAGATTATTGGTACTTCTCAGAGCTCCATCTAATAGCAATCTGTCCTGTCATTTAACAACTTTCTGGAATTCATGTGCTCAGTCTGGACTCTGGTACTTTAGATGAGGTCTTACCCTGCTTATGGGCCACTGATGGTTCTTTCAGTCCCTCTTGCAGGGCTGCTTTCACCAGACATGCCAATGACTGCTTTCAACATTTAATTGTAAGTAGCTGAGGCTACTTATAATTAAATGAATTACTTGATATAATTAAATTAATTACTTGAGGCTGAACTGATGCTAAGAAAAGCCAGACACTCATCTGGCATAAAATTGATGCACTGTCTCGATGTGTCTAAATAATACTGACTTACATGATGTGAGCACAGTGAGCAGGTTTACAAATGCCCTGGCATGACAACACCTGAGTCTCCTGAGCTGTTTCACTACAGGTGCTGCTTCTGCCAACTGCATCTGTGTCTCAATCTGAAGCTGCTTCATTGCTGTGATGGACATAAACCCCCAGGGCATGAATGATGCATGTTTGCATAATTAATACCAATTGTTTAACCAGAAGCATTTGCTGCATGAAGTGTTAAAATTATATTGCATCCAAATACTGCTGTGTTTTTCTGGTTTCTGGATGCTAGTGTTTAGAATGCTAATCAAAATATTATAATTAATTATATAAATTCTGTTAAAATGTACAAGCAGTGTGTTATATTCAAAATGCCATCAGCTCTGATCAACTCCAAAATTGAGAAACATGTTTGGCTGATTTAAGGCATCACAAAATGATCATAATGTTCTTGCAATTAACAATGTAATTAAGATTTACAGGTTGCATAATTCATTTCATATGTATAACAATTGAAGTTTAATTAATAAAACTTAAGTGTGCTAATTTTACCAGTATTTTCAGAATCAAAAATGTTTCAACAATGAAATTTGGATAATATCTTTTTTCCTTTCTTACCATTCTTTGCTGGATTGTTATTCTGCATATTTTCAGATTTCCAGGTCTTCTTTTTGGTTGTACTTTACTGTAGGGGAAAAGAATGAAGTTTTTAAAAATTGCAGATCTTTTGCTGATAAACCATATTGTTCCATTTTAAAATGTTCCTCTTTTACCCACAGTGGCCATTGTATTTTCTGCTGCATGTTCTTATCTACACCTTGGTCGTATATTAATTTAAGTCATTGTATAGTAGAAAGAGCACGTTATATGCATGGATTTGTAAGATTGAACAGTTTTGGGGACGGCTGTAGTCTCATTTATGACTGTGTAACTTAGCTGGAGGCTCAGCTGAAGCTTTTCAAAATGGAATGGATCAGGCAATAATTCTTACTAGAGTATGTTTTACTAAAATCAGACAACACTCTTTTCTGTTACTATTACTGAACACATTGCAATAACATGAAGCAGTTGATCTCCATTGTTTTAATGATTTTCCCATCTTATTTAAGTGTATTGGTAGGTCCCCTGCCTTGATGTTGTGATGAAAGAAGACAGCTTTGATAGATACTTACTCACAAAGGAGATTAAAGGGCTTAAAATTTGGTCCCTGTCTGATAGGTGACAGGGTAGATCCTTCTATGTAATCAAAACAGATAAGAGATGGCAGTGATTATTGTAACTGCTCCATGGTCTCTCCTACTGCTGTACCCAAAGTCCTTTTGTAGAATCACTCTTCTGAGCACTGTTACTGCTTTGCCCTGGCTTTGTTGCTAATACCCAATGCAAGAAAACAACACTGCAGGTGTCTTTCAATGTTGACATTTACTCATTGTCATGGAACTTCTGCAGGTCACGCCTCACTGTGTGAGTGGTCTGCGGAACTGCTGGAAAAATAGATCTTTTTACTTTTGTTGTTGAAGGAGTCCTTAATGCATAAAAGGACACAGCTTATAGGATTGGGCTGTCAGACAGCAGCTCATGACTTGCATTATGTTATACTGACAATGTCTTGGCAAATAAGACGCTGACAAATTGTTTTGCAATGAAGGCATAAACTATACAGAATATTGTGCAAGGCAGACAATATAAGGAGACACCCTCCAGTCTCCAAGGACTTGCATTTTTTTATTGCTTACCATATTTTTTCTAATATCTGTGCTGATGCAGTGTCTCATTTGGGAAGTGGGAATTTTTTCCCTTCTGCCTCATGCAAAGCACCTATCAAGACTCTGAGCCCAACACCACTTGTGTTTGTCAGGTGATGCAAAGGGAGCCCAGGCTGCTGTGTTACAGAGGCCAGGAGCTTTTGGGTGGGCTAACATCAGAGACTGAAACATTCTAGGTGTCCAAAGAGGTAATGTCAAGGAAGATTCAGGTTAGACTTTAGGTCTCCAGAAGTGCAGGTGGATACATTTTATCTGGATGTTATGGAATACCCATCCTGGTCTTAACAAAAACCTAAAATTAAGAATAATAAATAAAATATCCTACAAAACCCCAACCATCATTAAGTTAAAAGCAAAGGTAAAATGCAAATTTGATTCACTGCTGAGAATACAGATTGTCTCCTGCAGGCCCTTCCACTGCTGCTTTTGGGGTCAGATCTTGAACTGGTACTGAAATCACCACTTTCAGGTGGGCTCAGCGTGATATACTGATTTGTGTTTGCCTCCCTTTGGTAGGAGTGGGGATCTAACAATGCTCTGTCAATCTTGTGTTTATCAAAATTTCCGACAAAATGATGTTTTCAAAATATGCTTAGAGATAGATTAAAATACTAATTATTAGATATGGCTGAGTTTCAGAGTTCAGCCATTCTGGAAAGATGTTGCTAAAGAGATTAGTTATGTGGCACCAGTTTACTGCATAGAGAAAGATGAATTTTTTGATTTCTGTCTTTCAGAAACTAGCAGAAAATGAGGAAAATATATTTTCTTTAGCTTGTTGAAATCTGTAATTAAATAAGCTTTCCACTAAGATGACATATGGAAAATAGTGATTCCAAAGAAAAAAATAAATCTAGAAAGGCCTGAATTAGTGAAAAGGGAGATAAAGATGAAAGTAGCCTATAAATAAATGTTATAATAGGAATCACAATAACATAACACTGTCCTTTCTGTCATATTTTTGTGCTCTAATGAAGCTCTATTACATATTTCTGTGGCCCCCTCTTTGATGAGCTCTTCAATATTTCCTGCTGCAATAACCAGTCATCTGAAATACCTATGGGACTGGTCTCTCCCAAGACACACAGTGTGGATTGTTCCCTAACTACTGATTTCTACCATTTCAATGGCACAAAGGATTCTGTGTTTTGACAGGGAAATCCTTATAACTCTAAAAATGAATTAAGTATTCAGCCAATCATAAAATGACATCATGAAAGCAGCTCTTCCGCTGATGTGGTGACTATAGGGTTGCTTGACATTATTCTGCTAACACCGTTTGACTGGATATATGTTTTGACATCCAAACAACAGGGACACTGATGGAACCTGATGGACTCAATGTCAAAAGAAGAAAAGCTGGCTGCAGGAGGACACCCAGAAAATTAATAGGTGGATTGCAAAAACCCTTTCTTAAAGAGCAAAGTCAATAAAGTGAGGACTGAATAAACCCCCCCCCCCCCAAAACTGAAAGAAAAGGCACAGACAAACCAATTATTATAAAAATAGCAAAGACATACAGAGGGGTATTTTGGAGCTCAGTTGGTGCTGGCTGAGAAATAGTTAATTTTAACCTGAGAAGTTGACATTCAATTTTCATATTTTTGTTTCTGCCACAGCCTTCAAAAATAACTGTGTTGATACTGTAGAGAACCTCCTTATTAAGCAACCTTTATCTTGTTCACACTTTTTGTCTTTTCCTTAATTTCCATCATAAATATGTTCCAGAATAATGTGAAAAAAATGCCATCCGCAGGAGAACTAGCAATTTTAGACATTTTTTGGGGGACATTTCAATTTAGAAGCCAAGATCTTTTCTTCCATCAAGAGCCTTTGCAAGCAGTTCTGCTTGCACATTTATAAAGTGTATTTATATGTAATATTCAAAATCTCCAAGATTAAAAAAAAAACCAGTTTTGGAATCAGCCAGAAACATACTCCTTCACATATTTTGCCCACTCTGAACTGAGTATTTGTATCTATCATAGATTGGTCCCTTTTCCCTGTCATCGAGTGACATATGTTATAGGTAAAGGACTTGTGACAGGGCTCAAGGCAGAACTGTGTTAAATAATGCAGTGCCAAAAATCCAGTATTTGCACAGTCAACAAACTCCTCTTCTCCAAGAAAATGATAGCATTTAAATTTCTGCCACCTGATGACATCATGTCTTCCTTAGCCCTGACTCCAGTATCAGACTATTTCTAAAGTCAGAGAGACTTCATTATTCTGACTTTCTTGAGTAGTCTCTGAAGTCTGTGACCAGCAGTTTTTGGAAACTGTGAGATTGGTATACCTAATATAATTATATATTTACTGTTGTCTTAAACTCTTCTGTAGGCCTCCAGTGATGGCCACTGTTTGATACAGGACACACATTTGCAAAATGGACCTTTGACTCGCTCCAGAATGGCCATTCCTATTGTTTTGTGCAAAAAACCAAACCAAAACAACCCTACAAAGAAGGTTCAATCAAACGGTCATCCAAAATACTAAATAACAAGAAACAATTCTATTACCAAGATATGATTCTCAGATCAAAATACTGAAAATCAATAAAAAGGAAAAAATAAGTTTTGTGAGAGTGACTGGACTTCATTTTCTGTAGTTCTTGGCTAGAACATCTCCATTGATAGAGTTGCTAAGTGCATTCTATTTACAAATATAAACACTTGATTTTGATCAGCAAAAATGCATCAGCACACTTGAACAGTGTCAATGATGACATAATTACACTCACAATTTCCTCTCTGTAATGATTTTTAAATGTCAGCAGTCATTTTTTGTCTAATTGTAGCCTGCATGTCAGCACTTCCTCTTAAAACAGCATGTTCCTCTCTGCTGGAATTTCACACCTCTCCACTCACTCACTCACTTCACCAGTGAAGATAATGAAGATGATAAAGGGCTCCAGGGTATTTTCACTCCTGTGCTGCTTTACCATTTAATATAAAGCAGGCAGAATGAGGACCTTTTTTTTTTTTTTTTAAAGTAGAGAGTTTGATCAGTTAAACTATAAATAATTATTTGATTTTAATGAACAAATCAAAAAGCAGTTTTCATTTTTCAGACACCCTGCTGGTGCTTTGCTAATGATCTGTTAAAAAGCTAGGGTTTGTGATAAAAACATTCTCACATATGGAGACCTGAACTTACTGGAGCTGACCCTGCAGTGCCAGTCCTTGATCACTTCAGAGTTTAACACAGTGCAGTGCAGGTGAGCTTGCTCTTCAAAGGCAGCCTGGTTAGAGATGTCATCACTACCATCTCTTGCTATGACCTAGAAAGTGACATTTCAAATGCTATTTTGCACGGCTCCAGGCCCCAGAGCCCATAGCATAACAAATAGGTGCTCCTCAGAGCTCTCTTCCTCCTCCCACAGACCACAGACCACATCAAGTGTATGGAAGTGGATCTCTTGTGCAATGAACTGGAAGCTCTGCACTGGGGTTAGCAGCAAACATTTTCCACTCATCTGAACATACCCTGGAATTGGAAACAGGGGCCAGGGAGGCCTCCTTCAGTCCAATTTGCTTACAACTCATCTTCAACTCTCTGATGATGCTTAACTCTAGGGTTAAGGAGATTAAGTTTATCATTTACTGGCCCATTTAGTTTCAGAACAGGTGAAAAGCCAGAAAGAATTCACACTGTGAAATCAAATAATGAAAAAAGGTTGAGATGTCTGATAAAAAAAGAATATGATTGTATATCTCTAATAACAAATACACTCATATAATGACATATCAGCTAGTTATTTGTCTGAATAGCTCCCTGAAAGCTACAAGAATGAAAAATGAATAAACTGAATAAACACAGGTGAGAGGGTGGGAGTGTGTTTTCTACAGCCCATGATAACATTCATTATGTCCCTCTGTGGCATTGCCATCACATGTGACTCTTACATACCCAAATGTCT